CTCACTCCAGCTGCAAACCCCTCACCGTTCTCTGAATGTGCCACAGACAGGCCCTCCTGGGGCCCCGACTCCTGCTGTTCCTCCTCTCTGTGATGCCGTTCCCTCCTCTCTGTCAGGTGAAGTCTGACGCGTCTTCAAAGACCTAGTTCAACCGCCACCCCCTCTACAAAGCCTCCCACTTGCCCCGTACTTTGCAGGGTTGATGACTCGCTTCTGATTCTCCCATAACTGAAAAGCTTCTATCGTACAGCACATATCATGTCTATTACCTACATGCCTCTCCTCCCCATGTGCTTTCGCTCTGTTCACCCCATACATGTGTGCAGAAGAAAGAGTTGGGCAAGCGTTGCTGAGAAAGCTATTCAGGTGGGTGCTAGAACAGCTCCCCCTCCCGACCCCCTGGGATAATTCAAGCTTTTATCAATCTAAAACTTAAAGACCCCAACTTCCCAATCTCTCCCATGGCAGAGCTCCTGAGGGCGATTCCTGCTTAGCCTGGCTCCAGCCCAGAGACAAAGGCCTCTCCAAATAATCAGGTTCAGGAAGCAAAAAACAAAACTTCAATTGTTTATTGGAAATCTACTATGCCTTCCATAGCACCCCACAAGCCTTGGCCCCCAACTTTGGGACTTTTACAGCTGTCCTGAGCACACCCATCTCAGCTTGGGTCACTAAGAAAGAGAACCTCAAGGAGGCATTTTTTTTCCACCTGGGAAAGAGAACGTGAGAGGCTCTCATCCTCCCACAATCTCGCTAGGTCAGATGGGCCTGGCTCTACCATATTTAGGGGCTTTGTGACCTTGGCAAATTGCTCAGTCAACTGAACCTCAGTCAACTTATCTGAAAAATGGGGTTCAACCTAGAAACAATGAGATATGTATGGAAATGCCTCGAATAGTGTAGTGCAGTATAGTGAAGGTAGATGATACTTTCAATGAATGGTAGCTTTTCTTCCTTTCTGCCTCCCCTCCCGCCTTCTCTCCCTCTTTCTATCGTTTGTCCTGGAGCCTACCTTATAGAGAGGTAAATTCACTTTAGCACACTGAAGACTGGACGCACAAGGGGCCATCAAACAACATAGAACTCAGGAGTGGCCTCAGGGATCTTGCCAATGCTTGGCATCCCCGGAAGCTTTTTTCCCCTCTTCCTGTTAGATCCTTTTTTCCTCAAGCAGTTCACCCAGAACCCAACTGGATCCCTCACACACGGACTGGCCCTCACACAGCCTTAGGAATGCCCACAGACAGTTGCATCCGGTGCATTCCTGCAAGCCTTCTAGACTCTGTGTTTACGAATTCCTGGTCAGCCCCTGGGCTGCGCATCTGTCTTCTCGGAACGTGGTAATCACAGAGCGAGGATAAAGGCTAAAGAAAGCACCGGGCAGGGGCAGGGCCGAACCACATGAGTGCTGCTGTGAACATCTCAGGGAGCCCGCGAGAGGACCAGGAGGTGGGCGAGGCAGAAGGGACAGGCTGTCTCGCTCCCGCTGGCATTTGGGGGCAATTATGCCCTATTAATGGCCGACAACTTAGCTCTGCCCTGCGATGTGAGCTGAGCCGGGCCGGCCCACAGATGCGCTCGGCCCACAAATATGCAGTTGGCAACTCCTGAACTTTCAGTGACTTCACACCAGCTGATCTGATCAGCAATTACATTTTATTTTGGGGCCAGGGAGACAGCACAGACCAGGAAAATTATAAGACATCAGAGTGCAGTTTTGCTAAGAATATCAACTTTTTTTTTTTTTAACCAATTGTTGTTTTAACGGTTAGGGATCTGGGAGGCACTAAAATAAGAAAACCCTGGACACGACAAATCAGATGATGGCCAATTTTCCCAAGGGCGCCTTTAAGTCTTTGTCCCATAAAAATCTGGGTGTGATCCTGCTGTGGTTTTAGAGGGCAGATGGGGCAATTCCTGCCAAGGGAACTTTGCTGGTGACAGTGACTGGAGCGTGGAGATAAATGGATTTGTACTTCATCCTGGGTTTGAATCTTTACTCGGCTTCTTGCTAGCTGTGACCCTCTGTAAGTTGTAGAACCTTCTTGGCCTCAGCTCTCCCCTACGTGAAATGGAGGTGTTATGCCTAGTTTGGGGTTTATTATGAACATTCGATGAGATGTTGATGAGCATCTAGATACCATCTGGTCCACAGCACCGATACACGTAACTAAGATGCTTCCTTCTTACTACAACCCTGGTTTCCCATCTACAATGAACGGTTCCTGTTTTCACTATCACATATCAAACCCAAATAACCAGGCGGCATAAAACGGGGGAAACGGCATCTCCAGGAGCAGTTTGGTTTCTAGCAACTTCAGGGTTTGTCATCTGCCTCCGTGATAATATCAGTCCAGGCTTAGCGGCCTCAACAGCTTGACTGGTAGGGAAACGCGAGAAGCCACGACCGTGCCCAATCGGGTGCAAAGTTCGTAAATGTCTTGTGGACACGGAACTAACCTCATCGGGGGCGCCTGCTCCCTCCTCTCAACGCCCCGCCCACAGCAGCCCAAAGGATCAACAAGACAGTGTCTCCGAGAAGCACCCCTGACTGTATTTGCGTGGGAATGGAACATAATTGCAGCTTGTAAAGGAAACCGGCCTAAGAAAAAACATCCCGGGTAACATCCCGAGGAAACGGGGAGATCTTCCTGCAGGGACATTTTCCTGGTTGTCAGAGAAGGGGGCCAGACAGCTTGCCCACGACATTCCTGCTGGAGGTGACTCACCCACCTCCAGCCTCGAGCATGGTTCCCAGGGCGGCCTCTCCAGCCCCATCTTCCCTCCCAGGCCCTAGGCTACCGCTAAATGAGCTTCTCACCCAGACAATACTCAAAACACCACCAGAAGGAAGAGATGACCTCCACCCAGGAAGGTTATCTCTCCTTTGGTGGGTTGACCAAGGGACTAAGCAGGGTCTCCTGTTCCAGTCAACTCGAGCCAACCCTGGGGTAACTAGAGGAACCAGCTATGGAAGGCTAACCACATATGCCCAGCTCACCCTTTTGTGCCCAGCACCTGGCACTTACAATGGTGGGTGAAGAAATGAATGAGGGAACGAGTGAATGAATCCAGGAAGGAACAAACTCCACAGGAGGCACAGAGCAAAATATATCCTCTCATGCAAACCTGCAAGGCAGGTACTCTTAGCATCATGTTATAAACGAGTGAAAGCAACTTCAGAGGGGCCAACTGTCTTGCCCACACTCACGTAGCTAGGAATGAAGAAACCAGGCTTTGGACCCACGTCTGAAGTCAAGGCTTCCGGTATGGAAACCACCCTCACGACCAGGATAATGATGAATGATGTTTACATAGCCCCTGACACAGCAGGGTTATTTTGGCCTCCCAACATTCCAGAGAAATGGACTCATCACGTACTCGAGTTGCACAACCAGTTGGAGGTGAGGTAGGGATTTGAACCTAGACGTTGATTTTCCCAATCGCAGATATTTGGGGGCACATGCTATAGGTCAGGCCCTGTGTTAGGGGCTGGGGATACGACAGGACACAGCCTAGACCCAGTCCACGCGCTTCCTGTCCAGAGGGGTGTCTGCTTCAGAAATAAGCTCTTCCCACGACACCATATGCTGCCCATAGAAATTTCCTCAGGAACATAGCGGTGCTTCGGCGGTTGTATTTTGAAAGGGAAAAGGATCTGAGAACAGAGCCTGTCGACAAAAAGATAGGAACGGTCTGCATCTCGGCAGCATGTGCTGTTTTCAACATGGATTTCCAGAATTCCTATCCTTTGTCGAGGCCGATTCCGCCTCTTCCTAAGGACAGGTGTGTGAACATGCCAGGAGACTTGCCTATAATAATCAGATTATCTGGGCACCAAACAAAACCCAAATATCAAATTCCCTGCTAAGTCACCAGAGAACCCATTAAGGAAGCCTCAGGCAATCTGAGTTTGCAATGACCTAGCTAATCCAGCCTCGTCATACTAGAACCCCAAAGCAGCGGGGCTGACGGGGGAGTGAATTCACCTGGTTAGGCCACCCGTGATGTACAAACTCGGGAGTCCGTTTTTCCAGAAGGGAGTGCAAGTGAGAGACAAGGAAGATGTGTGGGATCACAAAGTGCCCTTTGCGAGACTTCAGGGACTTCAGTACCTTTGAGGCCCAGGTATTATCTTCCTCTACCAAGCACCTTAGTCCACAGAAATACTGAATTAAGAATTTGATGCAAAATAAAGCACAGAGGCTATGGCTAAAGCAGTGCATTTTTTTTCTTTTTTAACAGCAATCAAAGGTCAGATCATAGGCCACAAGTTGTTTACTGTTTCCTGGCATCAATTGCTAATTAACGTTCCCAAAAGAGAACCAGCCTTATGGTCTCCACATCAAGACCCACACACCACGGAGGCCATCGCCATGGCGACCAGACCTCCTCCCTTTGCTCCTAGCTTTCCATGAGACACATTTCCTGGCGTGGAGCTTATTTTGCTCACAGAAAAACTCTTCATGATCAAACTCAATTTATCATGAGGTGACTTAACAAAAAGCACCCCCACAAAATTGAATCTTGGTAAACTGGTGCAGTGAGGTGGAATTCTTGGGGGCATCTTGGACTTTAATAAACCGGCGTGGGAGCAGGGTGGCAGGTTCATCCACACGTGAACTTTCTTTGGGGGTGCTAAGGGAGAGACTGCCCAGCCCCTGCGGCTCTACAGTTTCAGAGTCCCGTCGCTGGCACCTGTGACTGTGGAGAATCTCTAACCTGAGCAGGTCTGTCTGAAAGCTCAGTCCAGCACTACACCAGGGCATTTCTGGAATTCTTAATCCTTCTTGCTAGAACTTCAGAGCCATTATACAGAGAAAGGGTGACCAAGAAAGCAATCACCGAAGCTAAAATGCCAGGCAGTAGAAGGAAGTTTCAAATCCCTCAAGAACCAAATTTTGAAGTTTATCGTTCTCCCTCCCCCTCTCGCCACCTCCCCTCCAGAGATCGACGCACGGAGACCAAATCGAACAAGCGAGAAAGTTTCCAGGGCTTACCTGGGTTGGGTTGTAGAGCTCCTGCAGGGGGCTTCGAGACCCCTTACGGCAGCAGATGTCCACGCCAAAGGGGTTCCTCCGCATGACTGAGGAAAGAAAGTGAAGGCTCATCAGAAATGAGCAACAAAGGCTTGTGTGACAAAGAAAAAGGCACAGAGGTGGGGGAAGAAGCAGCAGGTAGGAAAGGAAGACAGAGAACCAGTTTCTGGCAAAGCTGTTGTTCCTTTATCCAAATGCATGTCTGCCCCAGTATTCAGGCATCTCTCCACACCCAGAGGACATAAATAATGCTCAACATTTCTTCCCGGCAAGTTTTTAAGAAAAGAGGACAGGCCTCTAAAACTCAGTGTAATGAAGCAACTTACAAAAGGCAGCATAAAGTTGTTACAAGGCAGTTCCAGCCAGCAGCACCAGGCTTGGTAGATTTCAAATTCCACAGCCTTCTCCCTCAATGATCCATTACAGCCTCTTATTCCTGGTCCCCGAGCACCTGGCCCTGGTCTCCTGCGCAGGCTGCAGCGCCTTCCCCCGGAGGGCTCTTCCCACGGGCTAAGTCAGACGCCCGGTCACCCCAAAGCCTCTTGTAAATTCGGTTATTTTTAATGAAAGTAGCAGGTCGAGGAAGAAAGGACACGGGTTTGTGGTTCTACACAGAGGTGGAACTTAAAATTAATCAAAGAGGCAGAATTAAAAGAACTCCTCAAAAACCAATGGCACTGAGGACACCACGACCTATTTCTTTTTAAGATTTCATTTTTAAGTAACCTCTACACGAACGTGGGGCTCAAACTCCCAACCCCGAGGTCAAGAGTCACGCGCTCCGCCGACTGAGCCAGCCAGGCGCCCGCCCCAAGAACTAATTTTCAGGGGAAAAGAACTTTCTTTTTTCATTCTTCCTGTTCCGGGCAGTCTCTCGCAGAGTCTAACACCTAGTCACCTGTTGATAATTATTTGTTGAAGGGAGGGCGGCGGCGGGGAGGGAGGAACGAATGAATGAGCGAACGACCGTTTTCTTCTCCTGCAGGAGGCAATTTTCTTTGTGGAACGACACGGCTGGGGCATGGGAAGGACCAGGAAAGCGGACCCATCCACAAGCCTAGAGAAGTCACCGCTCTGTGCAGCAGCGAAGTGGGCTGCATTTTGTTGCCCGGAGCAGACGGCCTGGATGGGTAGCCGATTACTTCTGGGAGCTCTCCAGGTGAATCCACTCTTTCTCAGGCACCTCTTGGACTTTGAGCCACGTGGACACCCTCAGCGCAAACCATCGACTCCAGGAAACTGGAAGCTGCATTTTCTGCCCCCTTCTCCTTTACCCCCTTCCTACAGCGGGGTCAGCAAACTCTTCCCGTAAAGGGCAGACAGCGCCTCAGCGTTGCGCCAGCCGCAGACAACACACAACGGGCGGGCGTGGCTGCGTGTCAACGCCCCTCCATTTATGGAGGCCGAAGCCTGAATTCCAGGTAATTTTCACGGGTCAGGAAGTATTATTCTTCTTTTGAGGTTTTTTTCAACCGTGTCACAGAAACAGGCGCTGGGCTGGCTCCGGCCCGCGGGCTGCAGTTTGCTGACCTCTGCCCTGGAGAAAGGTCCCAGGTATCGCTGGGATCGGCGGAACCAGCCCCCCAACGCTCCCCGAGCCCCACGGCCCTCTCCGGGGAGGCGATCTGCGGGCCAGTGTCCATACATAAAAGCTGTTAGGATTTGACTGGGCTGTGCGGGGCAAACACTGCCTCTTTGTTCCTCCACGGCTGCCTCGACAAGAAGGGGGGAAAAAAAATCCACGTTGTGTTTTTCTTTAATTTATTGCTTCATTTTTCATTTCCACCCCAAACGAGGTAAACTGTTAAATGCACGCAAGTTGCCCTCGGTGCACAATGACATAGCAACACTTTGGAAGAGAAAAAACAGCCATAAAACTTGTAAAATTATGCTCACGCCGTGCGAGATTAAACTCTCCCCATGGCGGCAGACAGGCTCACCGAGACTGGGGCTGCAGACCGCCGCGGTGAGAACCCCACCGTGGAGTCCATTAAAAGTCAGCTTTTATGGGGGGCAGTATTATTTAATTGGTTTATTTTTCTAATACAAGGCCTTTAAAACGCTTTGACCGTGTGGGGCCCGCAACACGGACCCTTTCCCAAGGCCGTCTGTCCTCGGGGCCTCCTCCAGCCCTGGCCGTGCGGGCTTCGTTGGACGCCCCGTGAATCGGCTTTGGCTTTGGCACGCCAGGCCACAAAAGCCAAAGGGGCTTTGTGTGCCTTTTGCGCGAATGACAACAGTCTCACTATTTATGGAGTGAGTGCTCATCGTGTGCTAGGCACTTGGTGAAGGGTAATCCTTCCCACAGAGAAGGAAGTACTAACCTCTCTGAGCCTCTCTTGACTTCAGCAACTTGACCAAGGTCAAGACCATGGAGGCGGAAAGTTGCCCTGCCAAGACTCAAACCTGACCGCTAGGCTCTTCACATCCAAATGATAGCAGTGGGGACCTACTGCGTGCCTGGGACACAAAGGAAGGGTTGGCAATTAGGCAAACAAGTGGTAAGTATGTTTATCCCACGTGTGTCTTAGGAAAAGTGGCTTCAGAGAAGGCTGAGCGACTGACACTCACGGATGGTGGCAGCCACGGTTTAGAGAACCCTCACGGTGTGCCGAGCAGTTCACACATAAATCTGCACAGAAGTCTCACAGGGTGGGTACCACCGCTGTCCCCATTTTATGGATAGGAGTAACTGAGGCAGGGGTAGGTAACTTGCCCAGGTCTTGCGACTAGGAAGAGGTGAAGACTGGCTTCTGACACAGGCAGCCCATGCTCTCAGCTGCTGCCATGCTGGGCTGATGGTCAAGTGCCAAGTTTCCTCCTGACCCGGCCCAAGACTGGGTTGGCTGGCCACTTCTAGGACGGGCTATCTAAAATGTAATCTGGTGTTACAGGAGTCATTGGGGTGATGTGCTATGAGGGCCAGACTATTAACTAACAGTTATTAGTACACTCCATTCATCCAACACACTTTTCTCAAGCACCTGCGTATGATATGCCAGGCATGGGCACGGGGGTAGAGACCCTCTCCACCTCATTCACATTTTTCCCCGGTGCTTGGCACACAGTAGGTACTCAAAAAAGCTTATAAATGAGCTAGGATTAAAGGCTTCCTTTTAAAAAATATTTATTTATTTTGAGAGAGAGAGAGAGAAAGAGCAGGGGAGGGGCAGAGAGAGGGGGAGAGAGAGAGAATCCCAAGCAGGCTCTGTGCTGTCAGTGCAGAGCCCGAGGCGGGGCTCAATCCCAGATCCCACGACTGTGAGACCGTGACCGGAGCTGAAATCGAGACGAGTAACCGCCTGAGCCACCCAGGTGCCCCGTAAGGCTTCCTTTATAAGCACCGGACAGGCTTTTTCTGCTCCACAAGGAAGAAACCACCAGTGGCATCAGCAATTTTTTTTTTTAAATAAAAGGTCTAGCGATCAAAAGCCCTAAGAAAGGAGTCCCCGAGGACATTTAACAGTGGCCTTCCGCCACCCACCCACCACCGCAAGTTTTATTTAGCTACAACACTTGCTTTTTTTCCTTTCTACACTCTAATGAACGAAATGCAAAACTGTTTTGTAAGAATCTAATTGGTTTAATTTACGGCACAATTTCTTGGACCCAGGACGTAGTCCAAGATACATAAATGAAGCTAAAATCAGAATCAAGCTCCCGTGTTTATTTTACCCTGATGAAGAGCACGTTGTTCTCAAGTGGACACTCCGCTCACAGTAAAGTGACAGCAGGTGACAGAAAGTTGGCTCACAACTAAGGAACAGAGCCCGCCTCATCCATTCCCTGACCTTGCCTGT